GTGTTCTGTGATTACTAGAGATACATTCCATATTCTATGATTACTAGAAATACATTCCGTGTTCTATGATTACTAGAGATACATTCCATGTTCTGTGTTTATTAGAGATACATTCCGTGTTCTGTGATTATTAGAGATACATTCCGTGTTCTGTGATTACTAGAGATACATTCCGTGTTCTGTGTTTATTAGATATACATTCCATGTTCTGTGTTTATTAGAGATACATTCCGTGTTCTGTGATTACTTGAGATACATTCCGTGTTCTGTGTTTATTAGAGATATATTCCGTGTTCTGTGATTACTAGAGATCCATTCCGTGTTCCGTGATTACTAGAGATACATTCCGTGTTCTGTGTTTATTAGAGATACATTCCGTGTAAAAAAGACAATACAATACTGTAGCAGGTCAGGGGTAACTCGGTCGGTTACCTAAGCCAAGATACGGCATTCACCTGGAAAGGAACCGGTTAACATAAGTGGAGACCCATTCCTCCCCAGTAACTGGACGACACATAGTTCCAGGGGGTACAACAACAACTTTACTGGCCACACTCGGCTTTATACTTTTCCCCATGTAAGGGGTGGACACCACACAAGGACACTGTCCCCTCCCTTTGTTCCCGCCTCTCAAACACAGGGTTTCCCACTTCCAGGAACAGATGGTCTTCTTCCCAGGATCCTTCATGCCTGGAGCCAAAGCATGGGAGAAGGTGGGGGGGGGGGTGGAGGGGGTCTTGTCCCTTTGCCTCCCAGGCATTGGAAAGCCCATCACCCAGTGTCTTCCTCCCATGAGCCTCTATACCTGGGAATCACTGCGCGGAAAACCCCGTCTCTTTGTTCCCCAGGTACAGATAGCCCGCCATTGTACCCAAAGGATGTCAACATCAATTCCCAGGGACCCCCGTCATGGTAGCTGCCTCGAAGAGCCTCCGTTCGGAGGGTCCCCGTGTGAAACCAGGCAAGGGAAGCAGCTCCTTTCAGGGTACGAATGCTCCCCCTGGTTGGCACTAGTCTATACAAACGGCGGCCACCCAGGCAAGTACTCAATTAGTTCCCTTGCGGTTTCACACTTATGTTGCAAGTTGTGAACGTTCTAATTGATTGGTGCGAACATTCCAATGGGCACGGGGAATGTCCCCGTTCAGGAGGTAAATGAATTACCTCTGTGGAAAACCTCCCGAATGGGGAGTAGGCACATTTATACGAAGTAGCAGGGAAACACACAACTTGTAACAAGGCAATGCTTATAACAGGCAGCGGTCCCGCCACACGGCTCCCCCTTAACCACAAGCCGGCATGCGCAGTCAGATCCCAATGGATCGGCTTGGGGATGTCCGGAGGGTACTCACAGATTGGCTTGGGGATGTCCGAGGGGTACTCACGGATCATTTATCTAGGGTGATCTGTCTGAACAACCCGTCAGCATTGCCGTTTTGCTTACCGGGTCTGTAATGAATAGTAAAGTTGTAAGGCCAGGGACTAATGAAAGTGTTTAGCAAATTGGGCAGACTAGATGGGCCGAATAGTTCTTATCTGCTGTCACATTCTATGTTTTTATGCGAACAGGAGATGCTCACCGAGGCAGCCCAGCAGGGTGATGAGTACACCGACACCCGGCGGCCCCAATGCCCAGCTGCCCCTTACAGACCTTCCCTGCGCCCCGCAGCCCAGACCTACCTACCACCCAGGAACCCAATGGCTTCAGGGCCCCACCCAAAGGGAACAGTGCAGCCAGGTTCCGCATGCCATCACTGCCGGCAACCTGGCCACTACAAAAGAGAATGGCCCCAACTCAAACGCCAGTGGGTTCTCCCTGCAGTCGTCCAACCTCCGAGACCGGCAGCCCACTGCTACCAGGCTGCGCCCATGGGCTACCTGCACCCCGGAGAGGATGACTGCTCCATCCTGCATGAAGTCAACCCCCTCCAAGCTGCCTCAGACAACTGAGCCCACCACAGGCAACCAGTCCAGCTGAATGGGCGCACCGTCCAGAGGTTATGAGACACCGGGGACCACCCTGACCCTGTTAAAATTAGGCTTGTCGCTGAGGCAGAGAAGAATGGAGAAACAGTTGCTGTCCGAGGGGCCAGGGGCCACATCTACAACCTACGTCCACCTAGATTGGGGTATCGGAGCCACATTTTTGCACTCTATACCCAGTATAATTTTTTTTTATAGCGGAGTCCCATTTTCTTACTAGTATCAAGGAGTATATTACCGACTGCACCACACAACGCTAGTTAGAGAGGTCTGACACCTTTTACCTATGTATTACCTATTTGGTATTTTTACAATAGTGTATTAAGGTGCCAGTCTGTACTTCTCCGTGTGGGATATCTTAGCCATTATATGCATGTTTTATGTATTTTTTCTCTTTGTATAGTACTATTCCTATTTTTGTTTGTGATTTAACTTGTTCCTTTTTGTCCAATTGGTCTTTTTAGCCTATTGATTAAACATTACGTTTTAAATATACATTATTTTAGCATTATATTCTATTTTTATCTGGTCCTAGTTATTCTGATTGGTTAGATTCCAAGCCCACCAGAGTGTTATGAGTCAAATTACACAGCATGGGAAAGTTCTTTGGAATTTTCCCACACTGTGTAAAATAACAAAGAGCACTCTGATTGGCTTAAACCAGCCAATCAGAGTGTTCTTAGCCTAATTGCAGGGTGGGGCAATGCTTTATAAGCCTTCCCCTGCCCTGCAGAGCTCAGTCTGCGCGAAGCCCTCCATGGGTGAAGAAAGTTTTTTTTTCTTTTTCGTCATTTTTTTTTTTTTTAAGTTCGACGGGTACGATGGTTTTTTATTTGTCCTTTTTTGGGACTGAAAAATTGAAGATTTTAGAAAAAAAGAAGACGTCAAATGGTAAGTTTAATTTTTCTTTACAGGTTAGTTATTTTATTCCCCCCTCACTATTTTTTAGGGTGAGGTGGGTAGGTAGGGGGTTACTTTTTTTTTTGGGTGGGTGGGCTGGGTGACTACGGGCTTGGGGACCCCTAGTCACCTTTTGATAGGGGGTGGGGGGGGAGAGAGGATTTGTCTTAGGGCCCCCACCCACCGCGCAGGGGTGGGGGCAGGGAGGGAGGACAGAAGGTCCCCCCCTTATTGTTAGAGCGCCCACCCGCCGCGCAGGGGTGGGGGCCGGATAGTAGTTTGTTTGTTACAGTGAGCAGCCACAGGCTGCTCAGTGTTTAGTGGACATGCCCCTACTGGCGGTATAGCAAGTAGGGGCATTTGGGAGATTTTAATCTCCCTTATGCTATTATGGGGGTCATATTGACCCCCATAGAGTGAGGGGGAACATGGGGGGGCTTAGGAAGTGGCGGGAAGCATTGCTCCCTGCCATTTCTATGTTTACATATTACAAGGAGGGAGCTGCGCGCCGATACTCAGTGTTCGTTTGTTCATCTGATTTTTCTATTTATTCATTCAGCTTTCTGATGAATGAATGGATGAAATTCCCGTTCGCATGTCCAAGTGTTTCACTGGGCATGTGCGGGAATCTCAGTACTATCTAGTGTGGGCAGATGACGTATCCCACAGGGGTATTTGGGGGTGACTAAGGGGTTGGTTAGAGATAGTTTAAAAAAAAAAAAAATGATGATTTTTCCTTTAGACGAGCACGTACCGACCACCATATTCTACATATCAGTCTGTGACCGAAGCAGTTTTATATTTACTGTGTGAAGTATACTGAGTATACTGCCTATTACATGGTCTCTCCATGAACTCATTCACTGACTGCAACTTGTATAAACTGGCAATACGAGAAAAGAGAAAAATAGTCATTGCTTTATTTTTACATTTAAACCCGCCCCCACTTATTTAAATCTGCAATACAGGTTTTGTTCAATGAATTTCAATATTACATTTACTCCATACTCTCTGGGCAAATCAGAAACATCTGGACTACAACTCACATAGAGAGAGCGCAACGTTCACACAATGCAGGAATCAGAGAAAATTCAGTTTCTTATTTTAGGGAAAAACAGCTCAAACTGAATTTTTTTTTTTTTAAGTTTTTGGCTTTTTGGCCTAAAATGTGAAATATCTCGGTCATTTCCCAAGAATTCCCAGCTAAGTGAATAACCCGGTTTAGGAATGGTAGTCAGAGGCACAAATTTAGACTACCCCGATTTAAACATTAAATATCAAATAAAAAAATATATATGTAAAAAGAATGAAACAACATACATGTCCATACAATGTGCAGGCCATTTTAAAAATATTTACAGCTAATTACAGAAAATACAAGATAACGAGTCAATGTTCAGCTGGAGCAGGTTTCATACCGTCCACTTCAAACACCTGGAAAAACGAGAAAGAGACCGGATCAGCCAGCAACGTGACAAACAGCGCAGCACGCAGGCATCGGCAAGACAGAGAAAGGAAAGTCGTCATACAAACAGGAGAAATTACACAGGTGTAACGGACAGGAGGAAGACGGGACTATAAGGACAACAGCATGAGAAGGAAGGAAAGAATGGAGCACAATAATGTGTCAATGTGCTTTACAAACTCTGTATTTCTGCTTCTATTCTAAATCCCAGAGTCTGAAGTATTAAGAAGGATGAGTGCTACTACAGGGTTTAGTGCTAGCTTTATTTGTCCTTACCTTGTTTCTTGGTGAGTCCCCAAACATTTCACGCTGCAATACCTCGCACCGCAAGACACACAGGAGTAATTGGATGGGAAGCCACACACAGAGCAGAAGTGGCGCTGGGGGAAGTTTGATGAAAGGGCGCAAGCTGTCAAGTAATTGGGACCCTCACTTGTGCTTAAGTTCTGAAACAGAAAAAAAACAAAAAAAAAAAAACACGCTATGAGTGTCTTTCTACCTGCAGGGTGACGCAGTGCCAGACAGGGGGCGCTATGAGTCTGTCCCTCTTCCTGCAGGGTGACGCAGTGCCAGACAGGGGGCGCTATGAGTCTGTCCCTCCCCCTGCAGGGTGACACAGCCAGGGGGCACTACGAGTCTGTTCCTCCCCTTGCAGGGTGACACACTGACACAGACAGGAGGCGTTAGGAGTCTGTCCCTTCCCCTGCAGGGTGACACAGCCAGGGGGCGCTATAAGTCTGTTCCTCCCCTTGCAGTGTGACACACTGACACAGACAGGAGGTGCTATGCATTGGTCTCTCTTGCTGCAGGGTGACACAGACAGGGGGTGACATAGTGCCAGACAGGAGGCGATATGAGTCTGTCCCTCCCCTTGCAAGGTGACCCAGTGGCACACACAGGGGGCGCTATGAATCTGTCCCTCTCCCTGCAGGGTGACACACTGACACAGCCAGGGGACGCTATGAGTCTGTCCCTCCCACTGCAGAGTGACACAGCCAGGGGGCGCTATGAGTCTGTCCCTCCCCTTGCAGGGTGACACTGACAGAGACAGGAGGCGCTATACATTGGTCTCTCTTGCTGCAGGGTGACACAGACAAGGGGCGCTGGGAATCTGTTCCCCCTTGCTGCAGGGAGACACAGTGACACGAGACACAGTGACTAATACCTGTTCTTCAAGCAGAGCTTGGAAATTCTTTCGGAATCGCTGCTTAAAATGATCTCCTCGAGTTTTCTTCTTTTTCTTCCCTTTAAACAGAAAAGTTAAATGAACATTTGAATCTTTTGGTTAAACTCTGTGAATGCCGTGTGAGGGTTGGTCACGATACTCCCCCTGATCCGGTGTCAGGATTCACACACTGGCTCTGTATGTTCCTGTTAGTTGTTGCTTTCGGGAGAATACTTTAACATTGCAATACATTCTCTAGATTTACCCTCTACATTTGTTGTGCACAAGACAATACTTCCCCTACTTTTCCCTTAAATTTCCCCCCTGCCGTTGACGGGTTATGACTGAAGGGAGACAACTGAAATTCAGTTTTCGCTTCATTCAATGTAATTTCTATTCGTTCAGTCGTCTTTTTGACAAATGTACAAATATTCGTAATTCAGTCTGAAATTCAAACAATAGCAAATGAACAAGTGTTCATCTACGCATACGCGTGGATTTCATCGTGCGAGCTGGCGACGGCAGATAAAGGCCAAGCGGTGCACACCATCCATGGAACACTAAGATAAAGGCACCTAGGACATAGATCCAGACAAGAAATAAAGGGGTAAAAAAAAAAAAAAGTAAAATAGGGGAACTACGGGCATTTGGGTGCAACCAG